ATAAAAATGTAGATTGGATAAATTATATTTAATATAACCAGCAAAATATTTATAAACCACACTCGTGATGCAATAAAGGGATTAGCTGAGCAGACAGCGGCAACTAGCTTAATGACATGGCAGAATAGAATAGCTTTAGATATGCTTTTGGCTGAGCGGGACGGGGTTTGTGTTCTGTTTGGATATATGTGTTGTACTTTCATCTCCAACAATATAGCACCGGACGGGCCTGTGACCAAAGCGCTTGAGTGACCATCACCACGCTGGCGAACGAACTGGTTAAGAACTCTGGTATTGATAGCTCCATAAACGATTGGTTTGATAACATATTTGGTAAATGGAAAACTATTGTTGTGACTATTCTGGGTGAAGTTATGGCCTCTATGGGTATACTTGTTCTTTGTGGATGTTGCCTTATTTCCTGGCTGAGTGACTGGTTTGGTGAGTACTCTTCTATGGTGGTTACTGGATTTCTGACCCTAGTAATTGTGTTTTTGCTGTTAATGTGTTGTGCTGCTTGCATCGTCCCTTGTCTCAGGAGGTCAGTGGTAGGAGTGGTGCAGGCGTCAGGTATGATGCTGTTGTTACCGGCCCAGGATGATGCAGGTGACTCTGCTACTGACTCTGAGACCAAGCTGGATGATCCATGTTTTGCCTAGTAAAATACATACACGCATTTATTTTCAGTTCTTGCTCATTTATTACCTTATGTTTTTACTAACCACTGTGATTGTTTATTCTTCCTGATGTGAAGGTAAAGGATTCCTGGGTGGCTGGTAGCCAACTCAGTACATGTTAGGTGTAGGGGAGGAATAGAGGGTTAAAATTATTATTTTTATTTTCTATTAACATTAAATGTTGTGATTTAATTTCCATATCCTGTTATTCTTAAGGGTGATTATACTCTGTTTAGAGTGACACCATAAAATTGTTGGGTTTTATTTTTTGGATCTGTATGTGATGAATAGCTTGGAAGGAATGCATTAATGAGGAGCACTGTACTGATATGGATTGTTTCACATAACAGGCCGATAAGAACACTCTCTCTTTGTTGTCTGTGAAACTGCCCTTGAACATGGGTACATGGAGTACAGTTTTTGGGGGCTCGTCCTTTTGGGTGCTGACTGTTGTACTATTAATAAAAACGTTGATAGAATTAACTGCATACATTAATGTTAAAAATTAGGCAATTGGACACAACAAGGTTTTGAGGCGGTGCATGGCCAGTTGGCTGCAACCTCTCTCATGGCTTTCCAAAATCGTATTGCTGTCGACATGCTCCTGGCTGAAAAAGGAGGAGTATGTGCTATGTTTGGTGAACAATGTTGTACCTTTATTCCCAACAATACAGCCACAGATGGCAGTTTGATAATTGCCCTGGAAGGGTTACAAACTCTTAATGGTAAGATGAAGAGCCACTCAGGGGTGGACACTTCAATGTGGGACTCTTGGATGGATGCGTTTGGTAAATATAAAACGCTTGTTTCTTCTATACTTGTATCCATCTTAATTTTGCTGCAATTCTAGTGCTTTGTGGATGCTGTTGCATTCCATGCATACGGACGCTGACAGCCAGGATTATAACCACCGCTATTGGTCCACATCCTGCAGATAACGGTCAGATGTTTCCTTTGCTTGCTATTGACGATGCTGACCAAGGATATCTGGATGATGAATAGCATTTAAGCTTTTTGTCACGTCTCTTGTGAGACGTGAAGAGGGGGAATGTAAAACTTTATCTTCTGATAAAGTTTTCCCTATTTTGCCAAATTGCAGCATTTAAGCTTTATGTCACGTCTCTTGTGAGACGTGAAGAGGGGGAATCAAAACTTTATCTTCTGATAAAGTTTTCCCTATTTTGCCAATTACACTGTTAGCTTGTGTCACGTCTTAAGTTTTCCTTCTTTACTGTTACTTGGTCACGTCTCTGGGGAGACGTGAAGAGAGGGATTTGTCGTGGTAAATATATTATGTTATAGCTTGGTCTGACTAAAATCTTGTGCATAACCCATCTTGTGTTGGGGCCTTTGGACTTAATACAATGCACAAAGACTTCTATCTTGTCGGCCTTATCAGCAGGTGGCTATGGACAACACCCACGCCATAGGTCTCTCAAGTTCTCCCAAACTCACGAGTTATTGCTCTGAGGATATACACACACCCCCCCCACACACACACACATACACACACACATACACACACACATACACACACACACACATACACACACATACACACACATACACACACATCATCATTGTTAAGCACACACACACAAAAAACCCCTTCTCTTAGGCTGAACATCTGAAGACAGAGAACCCGACTCAGAGCCAATGAAATGGAGATGACCTCGACCAACTCATCAGGACCAATCAGAAGATCAGAACTACTAGAATCAACCTACTTTATTTTATTGTATAAAATGTCAGCACACAATGTTTAGGGGCTCGCTCTCTCAGATATCTCCCTACGAGGTTGACGAACGGGTCCGTGCACGCGATTTCAGATATCTTTACCTCTGAATAAACTGCCTTATATTATACAATTATCCACCTTGTCCAAAAGTCTCTACTTGGTCTCCGTTCTCCAGTAAACTTGTTTCATCAACACTCCTCACATGAATCACAGCTTGTTATGTGAAACAATTTATATCAGTACAGTACAAACCTATTATGTTTAATCATTAATGCATTCTTTCTAAGCTAGGCATCACATCTAGAACCCCACACTAGCTAGCAAGCTAACAAGCAGCTCATTCGCCTACACACAGTGGCCTGCTGTAGCTAGCCAGCTAGCTAATAATACATGTTTTTTAAACATTTTGAAAATGTATTTACTTACTAGAATAGGTTCACGACTACGCGCACGAAGCGGCCAACCTGTAGCGAAGAGTTGTCAAGCGGAGGCATCGCTTCTGCTGGTCGCAGTGTTGCGAACTTAGCGACTTTGTCGCTATATTTAGCGAGTTTTCAGACCCCTCTAGCGACACATTTTCAAAAAAGCGACTACCGACAAATCTAGCGACTTTTTCTGGTGTTATTGGATACTTTTGGAGACTCTGACGTGAAAGCACGTATCGTTCTTCCTCTTCTCAACGAGCAGCAGGTGCTTTGTTACCCCCGTCCCAAAGCACTCACAGGCGGCCCAGTCCTCGCGCAGCAGTCCCTCCCAGCTGCAGTCAGAGCAGGAGATCCCGCCCTGCTGGCTGATCCCGCCCTGGCGGGATGTAAATGTAGGGTGTTTTTACTCACTTTTTGTCTCTCCCATGACCGTATTCCTCTCTCCTACAACGTCCATCACAATTACATGCACATGGACAATTATGCAAATTATGATGACGTCATTTATCGACTTTTAGGACAGCCAATAGCTACTTTCCTTACTGAGGAGTTGGCAACACTGGCTGGTCGAAACGTAACGTTACTTTCCCTTTCTTGGGCACTGGGATGATGGTGGACATCTTATAGCTAGCACTTGCTTATAATAACCCAAACGGTTTGGTCTTTACACAATAAAATACAATATAAGGAATGTAATACAATATGTATGCTAACTAAGTACTACTTATCAATGGTGGTTAAAGTGCAACTATACTTTACTTATTTATTTACCTGTAACGTAAAGCCTTGGTAATACTGCGTAGTCTATGCGCGCGCTGCAGTCTCTGCAGATAGTGGATTCTGCCTTTTTGCACCGACTGCCTTTGGTAAAGTAATGTGCAAAAAATACATTCAGTCGGCCCTATTAAAATAATATTAATATAAGAAGATGTGATCTTATCATAGACCTATGGCTTCAGTGTCTGGGAGAAGTCTTGGTCGTTTTTGACAGCTCGCTAGCCAGCGTTCTCTGGCCGCGCAGTTGTTTGCCTAGTTTCGATACAACCAAGAAAGTTTTTACAGAGTCCAGCACAATGTAAAAACTTTTGCTTGCATCAAAGCTATTGTTAGCCTAGCAGCTCTAGCTAGGGCCGACTTGATGAAGCTAGCTAGGCTAAAACGACGCCAGTGATTGTACCTTTGTTCATTGTTGAACAAGTTCTATTTGTCAATTTTGTCTGAAAGATTATGCGATTAATAGTAGGCTACAGTAGCTAGTTAACAAACATAACGTTAGCTAGCTAGCTGACGTAGCTTGAACTGGGACTTTAACTAAGTATATAACTAAGTTAGCGAGAAAGCTAACAACATAATTTGTAATCAAATGGCAAAACTTTCTAAATTACTAACTACTGTTTAAAGTTATCTTTTAAGACTAGCTAGTTAGCTAACTTTCTAAATGGGAATAACTTTAGTAGGTTATCTAGCTATTTTCCTCTATTGAAAACATGAAGGCACAAATATATTTGATCAAGTTGTGTCGTTACTATGGTCACCAGCCAGGTTACAGTATTAGCAAATATTTGTATAACTAAACCAAGCTATACCAGAGCCTGTCGTTTCCAATGGGAACAAATTAGTCATAGTGGGCAGAACAAACAAGGTGGGAAGAACCAAGCACGAGCTAGCGAGATTCTATTAGCAGTTCATATTTCAGTTAGGGAACGCCTACTCTGTGAAGTGCGCGTGTGTAATAACTCGATTCGCCTTTGCACTCCTTGTAAATAACTCGATTTTGTACAACTTTGGCAAAGGGTCAAGTCTACAAAACTTAGTCCACTCTGTTCATAACATATTCTAGTTTTGGGAACAGACAACTGTATTGAGATCAAATGTTTCATCGATGAGAAAATGTGCAGAATGTTGGCCAAAATCAATCTCCTTCCATCTTCTCCCACTGCTGGCCACTGGGCTTCCTCTCACAGTGAGTATCTGTCTCATTGTTCTATCTGTGGTATTAGCTTGCCTTAGTCATTGGGCCAACCATAGAAATTCAATCTTTGAAATGCAATCATTGTCTCATTCTATTCTACTCTTCCCCTCCCTCGGCTCTCCTCATCCCCATCTCCCTTCCTTCAGGAATATAGAGTGAGTGTCAGAAGTTGCATAAGGCTCTTCATCATGGCGAGTCAGTCGATGGAGATCATGGCCAAGGCGCTGGAGCAGCAGGTGCTGCAGTCAGCCAGGATGGTGGAGGAGCAGCTGGATGCAGAGCTGGGGAAGCTGGAGCGCATGGATGATGATGAGATGGAAAAGCTAAAGGAGAGGAGGATGGAGGCCCTCAAGAAATCCCAGAAACATAAGCATGTAGGTGGGAAAGGCAGAGTGGTCACATTGGCTGAGCCATATGGTGGATGCCAAACAAGCATTTTATTTAGTCCATTCAGTTATTTTATACCAGTAACAACACTCATCATGGCACGTTTGTGCACTGTCCCCTCAGGAGTGGCTTGGTAAAGGGAACGGGGAGTACAAGGAGATTCCCAGTGAGAAATACTTCTTTCCTGAGGTGAAGGAGAGCAATCGAGTGGTCTGCCATTTCTACAGAGACTCCACCTTCAGGTTGGCAACACAGCAATGTTTTCCTCTCTTCCTGTTTTTCTCCTTCTGCCATTCCAGGCCAAAAACCTACGGGTTTTATTCCTGCAAATTAATTGAGATCCGGGGTGAGCTTACCCTCCTAAATCCTAAGAAAATGATTAGAACGGGATTTATTGCCCAATAAACCTTTATTGCAGCTTCTACCAGGAGCTAACCCTGCTGTATCCTCCCCCTGCATTGTAAAGATGCAAGATCCTGGACAAGCACCTTAGCATCCTGGCCAAGAAACACCTGGAGACCAAGTTCATCAAGCTGAATGTGGACAAGGCGCCATTCCTGACGGAGAGGCTGCGGATCAAGGTGATTCCCACGCTGGCGCTGGTGAAGGATGGCAAGACCAAGGACTACATAGTGGGATTCACAGACCTAGGAAATACAGACGAGTTCCCCACAGAGGTGCTGGAGTGGAGATTGGGCTGCTCCGACATCATCAACTACAGGTACACAGACTGGAGTGATTTCCTAAAGATAATCACACCTCTAGGTAGAAAGATGATCTGTCTAGGTATTTCCTGTTAGGCATTTGAGGCCATTGGTTCATTTGCAAAAGGAATAAAAAGCCTTACATGTTCATGCACAAACACAGGCTGATTAGTCGTATTAACAGTTCTACTTCAGTTCATATCAAGTCTCGTAACACCCCTCCTCTACACTTCTTCTCTCCCAGTGGTAACCTCATGGAGCCCCCCACCCTGACACAGAAATCTGGTTCAAAGTTCACCAAAGTGGAGAAGAAGACCATCAGGGGGAGAGGGCACGACTCAGACTCTGAAGACGACTAGAAGACCCTGTCAGCTTTCAACTTCAGTCTCTCGCAGGGCTACTATCCACTAACCGTCAGAACCATGTCCTCCTGTTTTGTTCCTTTCCCTTGTTTCTGTCATTTTCCTATTTATACCAGTCTTCCATGCTTAGTTTTTTGTTTTATGGATGAAATTTTATGACTGTGTGTGTGCAGGTGTGGACATAATCATATTTTAGTTAATATTTAATTACATTCACAAGTGCTTTTTGGTTGTTTATTTCCAACTGGCAAATAAAAGGATTCCTGTCTGAGCCACTGAATTCTCATTCGGCCCTGACTGGCTCCTCTTGAAATGTTTGATTCGATTCCAATTGAAGTCTAGAACTGGAAACCCTCAGACCTGATGCTGTTACCCTGTTATCATTCAACATTATAAAGAACTTTCCTCGCTAACACTATAGCTAGCTACATTAACATAAATCCATGTCATTTGTCGACCCGATTTGTGGGGGAAAACATAAATCCAGCTTTTCATGAGCAACAACCAAGTGCCAATGCCAGCTGCATTCCACAACCACCTCCTTTGTGTCGTCAGTGTGATTGGTAGCACAGGTTTGAGTTTTTCTATAAAAATGGACTTGATCTTAATAAAAGAAGCTGATCATCACTGGCGCTTTGTATTTTCCTATGACTTCCTCAATTTCATGGATGTATTCTTATTTTATAGACATTAACATATTATACATGTTTATGTTATGTTTTTATTTGAAATGTAATACAAAGGGGTGAGCTATAGAAGTGTTTCTCAGTCCAGGTTTAGAATGAACACAAGTACAGAAATTTCACTGATCCAGTAATTGGAATCACGGCTGATTTCTGGTAGGCCAGACTAAAACCATTAATTTGTGTCCTGTACAGATTGGATAGGTGAAAGCATGGGATCCACTACACAGCCAATCCAGTCATGTCAGTGATTACTTTGAGGAAAGGAGGATGCATTTTCAGTATTCAAACAGGCCCACTGACGAAATGGCAGGTGAGGACTTGGGGATAGAGTAGTGCTGGCTATGACTCTATGGCTTTGGACTCTACAGGTTTGAGGAGGCGTCGTACGATCAGCTCTCCTTTGCTGTTCAGGTAGGTGTTGGCCATGTCTTCCTCAGCAGGGAGACCATGGGGAAGCTTCAGTGGCTGGATCCTGAACAGAGAGAATGAGGGAAGAGTGGTCAAAGTTAATCTGTATTCAATTACAGCGCATTTCAGTGGTCAGTTTTCAGGATCAACCAACCACGCACTCAATGGGTAAACAGTAGCATACACTTCACAGGAATTATCAGATGTATTTGATAGTAGCCCTGCGCTAACAAAGTAATAACTGAGGTCTTGCAAACCCGAGCAGTCTTACCTCACAAGATGCTTGATGAATTTCAGCTGGTTGTTGACTGAAGGGATGTTCTTGTGAATTACAGGTACATATGCCTGAGTAGAGAAGGAGCAAAGAACCATTACAGTGCAACCAAGTTAGCAATCAGAATCGTTATTACAACTTGATATTACAGCAAGAGCAAGCACAGCACACAACTGAACTCAATACAAGTCTTCTTATCCACTCTGCTAGGGGCTAGCCTAGGGGTGGGGCAACTTTCAATTAGTCGATTCAGTTTGGCTGGAGCAAAAGCCTGAGCCCACACAGCCTACACCCTCGCAGGGTAGGATTGCCTGACACTAGGCTAGCCCCCCAGATGTGAGGTTATTAATCCAAGCTGATAGGAGCCCCACCTTCTGCAGGCAGAGTCCCTCCACTAGCTTCTTCTCCCAGTAGGGTCGGCGCATGGTGCTCTTGACCCGCGTCACCACGTGCAGCTTATGGGGCTGCTCCGGGTTGCCACCATACTTCTCATGCTCTTGAGACCGCTCGTCCAGCAACTGTAGACGCAGAAAGACATATTTACTATGGATTAAAAGGAGTCGCAAGGTTTGTTTAAAAATGTAATTTCCATGATCATTGCCATTAGGCTATGACCAAAGTGTTATAGTATAATAAATAGGGGGTGCTTATATTTGTCCTGTTTCACACATGTACAAGTGTGTAACCTGTGTGTAAAGTGTGTGGTGTGAAATGGACATGCATATCACTCTCCCAGAAACACCCTCGGAGAGTGGGGTCATGGCCATGGATCAGCCATTACTGACGGTGACCCTGGAGCAATTAGGGTTAAGTACATAGGTAAGAAACTTTTGCTTTGAGTTGAGGCATTCATTGCATTTAGATTGTATGGGCCTGCCCTTGATGAAAGTCTGCAGCACCCTACCTCTTGTGGGATCCGTGCTCTGGTGAACTTGCTGCGGAATAAAATTAACCAAGGCAGGGGCGTGGTTTCTGTTAAAACCTGCAAGAATGCACAGACACATCATCAAATATGCAAGACATGAAGAGAATAAGAAAAAGAACTAACTAACTAACTATGAAGGAGGAACCCACTCATTTAGACGATCCTACAAAATGTGCTAACAACTAGTCATCTGACTGATAGCTTTAATTTTAGTTACAACTGTCTGCCAGGAAGATAGTCTGCCTTTAAAAATGTAGACTTCATCCTTACCTGAATTGGGGAAGGTATATGAAGACCACGACGTAGCATTGCCATATTTACTTGTTGGTTGATAGGTTTATAGCAGGGACGCCAAGGTTATAGTGCAAAAACCGTCGGATGCGACGAGGCAAATTGTGAATTCTACCGATATATAAAGTCTTGTTACTATAATGTCATCTTTATTTATTTATTTATTATTTTTCAACAAACATCGAAATACAGCTGAATAAACGCAAACAGGATTGCTAGAGTGTTTCAGCGCTTACAACATTCACCGGAAGCCGTCAGCATAGCGGTCACTTGCTACCGTGCTACTTACACCGTGCTACTTCAAAACTTGGTTATTTCGTTCCTGCATGGCTTTCATTTGTTTTAATTGTCTTTGTGATAAACGTCTCGTTTTTTTACTATGTGATATTGTATGATTAGCTATGTAGTTTGACTGTTTTTTTTACATGTGTATTTCATAATTCATACATTTGTATTTCATTTAGGCATTTTCGCTTCCGTGGATATGTTGCTCAGGGGAATTGTTATTCTTGCGTACCTTTGTACGGGCCGGCAGCAAACAAACCAACATCAGGAAGTTTGAGTGCCATCAGATGTCGATTTTGATCAGATTTACGTTTGAATGAATGGAATGAAACCCCCGCATCCGATTTAGATATGATCTAAGCATAAGGAGTTTAAACAAGGACTTTAAGAAGGGTCTATTGATGCATTGTATTGCCACTGAAGAGATGCCAAAGAAGACTTGATACGGCAGGCTGACTCAGACGAATTTAACATTCCTGTCGCTGAGCTGTGGACAGACGAAGCATGTGCATTACCGTCTACGGCATACTCTAAACAGGTGAATGACAAATATCCACAACTTGACACATTGAACATCAAAATCTCAGTCCATTTTGACCAGATAGTGAACCATGGCGCAAGTCCCTGGTATGGAGACTTCTGCCATCTCCGTCCTGAAACGAGCCGTGGAGCTGGACCAGAGCTCGCGCTTCCAGGAGTCGCTAGTGTGCTACCAGGAGGGGATCCAGCTACTGATGGACGTGCTGAAAGGTAACACACACACACACACACACAGTCAAAAACACTCACAGGGGTATGAGGGTGACATCTGTTTTACTGATCTACTCATCTGTCCACAGCTGTGAAAGATGACTCAAAGAAGGTCCACTACAGACAGAAGATAAAAGGCTACATGGACCGAGCAGAACAGATCAAAGTCCATGTCAACCAACTAAAAGAAGGTAATGGATCTCAGAGACCTTATGTCACTTTCCCAAAGGAATCCTTTCCTGCACCTTACTGCTGCCTTCCTCTTATTCCTCCTTCCAGGGATGGGCATTAATTACAAATTACAATTACAAAATACAACTACAAAATACCCTAAAGACCAATGTATTAAAATAAAATATTAATACTTTTGCAAAGTATTGTAAAATACATGTATTTTGTATTTTAAAATACAAAAATACATTTGCAAGTAGCCAGCCGAACATCAACAACATTCAAACTTCTTACTTGCAATGACTGTGATATGTTGTTGTTTATCTACCTTAGTTGGATGCACTGTCACTGGATAAGAGCGTCTGCTAAATGACCAAAATGTATGTGAAAATGAACAACTGCAAAGCACACTGTGTATTGTCATTGGCCATTTTTTGGGGCCTAGCTCATTAGAGTAATAATCAGCATGCTTTGCAATTGTTCATTTTTACAGGTACATTTACATTTAGTTAATTTAGCATACACTCTTATCACACCATAGTGTCATCAGACTTTTTGTTTCCAATGCAGGGTGAAAGGAGGCCAGAAAATTGTGAACCACTATAAAGAAATGGTATAGAAAAGTATTTTGTTATTTTGAAAATACAAATTGCAGCTTTTGAAAGTATCTTGTTACAAAATACATTGGAGTGTAGTTCAGCCCAGTGTAATACAACATACAAAATACTCAGAAGTAATTAAAATACATATACTGAACAAAAATATAAACGCAACATGCAACAATTTCAAAGATTTTACGGAGTTACAGTTCATATAAGGAAATAAGTCAATTTAAATAAATTCATTAGGCCATAATCTATAGTTTTTACATGACTGGGAATACAGGTATGCATCTGTTGGTCACATATACCTTAAAAGAAAAGGTGGGGGCGTGGATCAGAAAACCAGTCAGTATCTGGTGTGACCACCATTTGCCTCATGCAAATAGGAACTGAAACACGCTGTCCTGCACGTCGATCCAGAGCATCCCAAACATTCTCAATGGGTGAAATGACTGGTGAGTATGCAGGCCATGGAAGAACTGGGACATTTTCAACTTCCAGGAATGGTGTACAGATCCTTGCGACATGGGGCCGTGCATTATCATGCTGAAACATGAGGTGATGGCGGCGGATGAATGGCACGACAATGGGCCTCAGGATCTCGTCACGGTATCTCTGTGCATTCAAATTGCCATTGATAAAATGCAATTGTGTTTGTTGTCCATTGCTTATGCCTGTCCATACCATAACCCCACCGCCACCATGGGGCACTCTGTTCACAACGCTGACATCAGTAAACCGACGCCATACACGTGGTCTGCGGTTGTGAGGCCGGTTGGATGTACTGCCAAATTCCCTAAAATGACGTTGGAGGTGGCTTATGGTAGAGAAATTAACATAAAATTCTCTGGCAACAGCTCTGGTGGACATTCCTGCAGTCAGCATGCTAACTGCACGCTCCCTCAACTTGAGACATCTGTGGCATTGTGTTGTGTGACAAAACACACATTTTTATTGTCCCCAGCACAAGGTGCACCTGTGTAATGATCATGCTGGTTAATCAGCTTCTTGATATGCCACACCTGTCAGGTGGATGGATTATCTTGGCAAAAGAGAAATGTTCACTAACAGGGGTGTGAAAAAATGTGTGCCCAAAATTTGAGATAAATACGCTTTTTGTGTATATGACCTCCCGAGTGGCGCAGTGGTCTCAGGCAATGCATCGCAGTGCTAGCTGTGACACTAGAGATCTTGGTTCGAATCCAGGCTCTGTCGTAGCTGGCCGCGACCGGGAGACCCATGGGGCGGCATCCAGGGTAGGGAGGGAATGGCCGGCAGGGATGTAGCTCAGTTGGTAGAGCATGGCGTTTGCAACGCCAGGGTTGTGGGTTCGTTTCCCACGGGGGGCCAGTATGAAAAAAATAATGTATGCACTCACTAACTGTAAGTCGCTCTGGATAAGAGTGTCTGCTAAATGACTAAAATGTAAAATGTATATGGAACATTTCAGGGATCTTTTATTTCAGCTCATGAAACATGGGACCAACACTTTACATGTTGCATTTATATTTTTGTTCAGTGTATTTCAAATGCACGTAACAGAAATATGGCCCATCTCTGCCTCCTTCCCTTCTCATTCCTCCCTCTCTCATCTCCTCTCCCACTCAGAGGGGAAGTACCATGAGCAGATCAGGATAGCAGAAGATGCTACAGGCTACAGTTACGAGGTTCTGTTCAGGCCTTACGTCACCGAGGGGCTGACTGAGGTCTGGGTGGAGGACCCTTACATCCGACATATTCACCAGGTAATTTACCTGTACACTATCAAACACATTCACCAGATTATATACTACAGAAAGGTACTATTACCTCTGGGTGTTCTGCTACCTCAAAAGCTGGTTTGTCTATTAATATGATTGTGGAATCTGCCTTGGATGCCATTGCCATGCTGGTTTAGTCATGAAGTCTTGACTTTGACCCTTCTGCCCTCTTAGCTGTATAACTTCTTGAGGTTCTGTGAGATGCTGCTGAAGGCCAGCTGTAAGGTGAAGAGGATTCACCTCCTGACCTCTCAGGACGAGGTAACTAACTGTAGGCTAGTGGCAAGGCCCACAAAATGTTGAGATACCCCTACCTGAGGTATAACAAAACACATCCATGTTTTTCCATATCTCTTAGGTGTCCCATATATGAAATGGATGGTTGTATAAAAATATGTTACTGCAAAAGTTGTTAAATTGATAGATATTGTGACAAACAATGCAGAATAATGCCTGGCTGGAGGGGGAGTGGGCCACATAAGCTCATGTAACCCAATATTGCAAGCTCTGAAATTGCTCACATTTGGAATACAAATTGTCAATTGTCTGCCCTACATACAGAAGCAAACAACATTAGGATATCTTAAAGCATTTTGGAAATGTAGACCTGTAAACACACAGATACAATAGGCGTAAATATCAACTATGAATATTAATGATGCTTTTTGGTAGCTGTTCAATAGACAACTTTCCAAGTCAAATAAATTTGCGCTCATTCAGTGCTGTACGGTCCTGCTTGATGAAAATGCATACATTTACACGTTTATTTGATTTTGTGGCTATTGTAATTGGCTCTAAGGAAAACATGTGGGCTCAGACATCGAAATATATATTTTTTGGTGTCCAAGGTTCCTTAAAGGATTTTGTATCTTTAGCCCCTATTCTTACAATTAAGTCAGGGGGCCATCAAAGATTATCTTTATATTTTGCCTCAAATGCAACATGGTGTCCAAAATCCAATATGACTACATTGGATGGAGGTTAAATCACATGTAAATGAGGCATTATTTTCAGAATTGTGTACAACACTCATGCCTATAAAGACTGTTGTGAATCCATTTGATTCTGAATCCAATATGGCCAACATGATTACACTCAAACACCTTCGCCTGCATATACAGTGGGGAGAACAAGTATTTGATACACTGCCGATTTTGCAGGTTTTCCTACTTACAAAGCATGTAGAGGTCTGTAATTTTTATCATAGGTACACTTCAACTGTGAGAGATGGAATCTAAAACAAAAATCCAGAAAATCACATTGTATGATTTTTAAGTAATTCATTTGCATTTTATTGCATGACATAAGTATTTGATACATCAGAAAAGCAGAACTTAATATTTGGTACAGAAACCTTTGTTTGCAATTACAGAGATCATACGTTTCCTGTAGGTCTTGACCAGGTTTGCACACACTGCAGCAGGGATTTTGGCCCACTCCTCCATACAGACCTTCTCCAGATCCTTCAGGTTTCGGGGCTGTCGCTGGGCAATACGGACTTTCAGCTCCCTCCAAAGATTTTCTATTGGGTTCAGGTCTGGAGACTGGCTAGGCCACTCCAGGACCTTGAGATGCTTCTTACGGAGCAACTCCTTAGTTGCCCTGGCTGTGTGTTTCGGGTCGTTGTCATGCTGGAAGACCCAGCCACGACCCATCTTCAATGCTCTTACTCAGGGAAGGAGGTTGTTGGCCAAGATCTCGCGATACATGGCCCCATCCATCCTCCCCTCAATACGGTGCAGTCGTCCTGTCCCCTTTGCAGAAAAGCATCCCCAAAGAATGATGTTTCCACCTCCATGCTTCACGGTTGGGATGGTGTTCTTGGGGTTGTACTCATCCTTCTTCTTCCTCCAAACATGGCGAGTGGAGTTTAGACCAAAAAGCTATATTTTTGTCTCATCAGACCACATGACCTTCTCCCATTCCTCCTCTGGATCATCCAGATGGTCATTGGCAAACTTCAGACGGGCCTGGACATGCGCTGGCTTGAGCAGGGGGACCTTGCGTGCGCTGCAAGATTTTAATCCATGACGGCGTAGTGTGTTACTAATGGTTTTCTTTGAGACTGTGGTCCCAGCTCTCTTCAGGTCATTGACCAGGTCCTGCCGTGTAGTTCTGGGCTGATCCCTCACCTTCCTCATGATCATTGATGCCCCACGAGGTGAGATCTTGCATGGAGCCCCAGACCGAGGGTGATTGACCGTCATCTTGAACTTCTTCCATTTTCTAATAATTGCGCCAACATTTGTTGCCTTCTCACCAAGCTGCTTGCCTATTGTCCTGTAGCCCATCCCAGCCTTGTGCAGGTCTACAATTGTATCCCTGATGTCCTTACACAGCTCTCTGGTCTTGGCCATTGTGGAGAGGTTGGAGTCTGTTTGATTGAGTGTGTGGACAGGTGTCTTTTATACAGGTAACGAGTTCAAACGGGTGCAGTTAATACAGGTAATGAGTGGAGAACAGGAGGGCTTCTTAAATAAAAACTAACAGGTCTGTGAGAGCCGGAATTCTTACTGGTTGGTAGGTGATCAGATACTTGAATGCAAATTAATTACTTAAAAATCATACAATGTGATTTTCTGGATTTTTGTTTTAGATTCCGTCTCTCACAGTTGAAGTGTACCTATGATAAAAATTACAGACCTCTACATGCTTTGTAAGTAGGAAAACCTGCAAAATCGGCAGTGTATCAAATACTTGTTCTCCCCACTGTAAGTAGCCCTTGTTAATTTTGTATTGTGTTATTCTGTCTTTAAAATGGTTTCATAAGGCTCTTGGTATATATAGGACTATGAGTGTCACTGCCATGCCTCTGTTGGTTTGAATAGCCGAAGCCAACTCGTTTTTCAATGTGTTCATGTTTTAATCTCATTCACACACTTACAGCATATCAACAATGGGCAATTCCACAAAAATAATAACAAGCCTTTCACGACACAAGCACACAGTAGCGTAACCAAGTTAGAGGAAAGCAACCATAATACAACAGTCAGCTACTCTAGTATTGTATATGTACAACCCTCTTTTCCCAACTTAAACTAAGTGTGCAATGTTAATTCAGTCTTTGAGGTGACCAGGACGTGAGTATGTCCTTACAGGGTGAGGAGACAAAGTAACCAGTGGTGGTTGTTGTTCTGGGGTCTGACCAGCTTGCACAGCTAACTGGTCATTCTGGGCAAGCTGCAGCGACAAGGGCAGTATCCTTCCTGTATGACTGGTGGGGTATTGGGGCTGTGGTGTGATCAGTTTCCATTTCTACAGTTCAGTATAGGCAGTCAGCAGATGCAGCTTGCAAAGAGACCCATTGACTAACTGGAATGTTATCCCAGCCTGAATGATGCTGGGGTAACTCCAGTAGTGGAATGGTTGGTTGTCTGGTTGTGAAGGAGAGTCTGTGAAAGGGCTGTCATAAACAGACTTGCCTTTAGATCTTTCCAACACCTAATTAACCTGTGGGCAGAGTTGTTTATGTTGAATGTTCTAAAAAGTCCTTCAAGTCACGTCCTACATAATTGTTTATATTCATTCGGAAGTCAGTTAGGATGATAATTTGGACGACATTAACTGTGGGTGGTTGGCATTGATTATGGACTGGGGCACGCCCAGCAGGTGATATGGCGAGTGACCTCAGGTTACGGTAGAGGTTATTTAGCATAGCTAGGTCATAGACTATAACTAAGAAGTGTTGGTTGTGAGGGACGTAGCACAGATCCACACACATACATTTGAAGATGATCCCTGGTCTTTGATGGACATTAAACGGGTTGCAGTGGAGGTGGAGCTGATCAAGCATGGTGCACAAATACCACTATCTCACAGTCAATCTCCAGCCACCATAAACGATCACATACAGCAAGTTCTACCATCCTAAGGTGCTGCTTGTTTGCCATAAATGGCATATGTCTATTGTTGGGATTACTGCACAGTTTCCCAGACCAATGCATGAGTCACCCCAGCATGAAAGCTCATTCTTCACATGCAAGTCCAGTTCAGGTGTCACATGGGCTGGCCAGCCATAGTTGGTAGCAAAATAGGTACATATGAGGGCAATGCACACCAGCAATTTCCAGATGGAATCTGACAGTCCAGTTCTGTGGTGTCTCTGTTTCTAGTAACTGCCTGAGGGGAGGACTGATGGTGGAGTAGGCTTATCAAGGACAGTTCTGTGAGATTCAGGATGGCATTGATATTGGAGAGGTGCAATTCCTATGACATGTGAAGGCCCACTAAGTTGATGGCATTGCTTGTCAATGAGTGTCAGGTTGTTGGTTCATTGTGGTGAACAGCTTGCCTTATGCGCTTGTCATGTGTGGTTTCATCCTCCCCATACACCATAAATGTCACCAAGTCAACATATACGGTAACTCCAGGGCAGACATCCAGGATGGTGGACATCATTTTCTGGAAGAAGTAATGTGGCAGCTCAACCCGAGTGCACTGGAACATCCCAATTTGCATCATAAATGCAGTGAGCCAGTGGAAGGTCATGTTGGTTGGATTCAGGCAGAGGTATTGGACTAGCAATGAATCAAAGCTCCCTTCTAAATGATAAGGAGGTGACTTAAGAGCCCAACACTGTAGGGGCAAGTTATACCACAGCGGGGGCAAATTGTAGAGCATGGCAGAGGGTGTCAGAGTCCAGGGTTGGATTCTCTTTCATTTCTTTGGAGCCTCCCAGTTGCCTCATTGATCCTCAAAGAGGTTTGTGACTTGGAATACTTTGTGTTGCCATGCCAAGCAGTCTGTTGTCTTTTTATATATCCAGACAAAGGTGTTTGAGTGTATATGGCGGGCATATTGGATTCCTAACATAGTTGAAGTACACAAAAATAGTCTTGAGTACAGGTCAAATCTGAAAAATGTCTAATTTAAAACGTGTACATATACATGTGATTAAACCACCATTTAATGGTAATGTTGCAGCCATATTGGATTTTGAACGCCATATTGGATGTAGAGTCAAATCTAGAGGGGCCCCCTAAAGTAATTGCAGAAGTAGGAGCTAAACATATCAAATCCACGGAGAAACCTTTAACTGGAAAAAACGTCAACTGAATAATCTGCTTTCTACTATTTAGCGAGAGGCAGAACTTATTTCTATAGAAGAAGCCCATTTCTATTCTCAGCTTCTTAACTAACTCATCAATATGCTTTTTAAAAGACATATTTTCATCTATCCAGATGCCCAGATATTTGTAAGCAGGTACACGATCAATATGGACACCATCCAAAGTACATATGCTTAAATCATCAGACTTCTTTTTATGTGCTCTAGAGAACAACATATACTTAGTTTTACCGGCATTCAGTACTAATTTCAGGTCAATAAAGTTATTCTGTAATACAATGAAGGCAGACTGTAGTTCAGATAGAGCCTGGTCAACCATGGGGGCAGTAGCATACACAGCTGTATCATCGGCATACAAGTGCAGGTAACATTTTTTTTTTACAGACAAGTCGATATTGTTCATGTAAACAGAAAAAAGTACAGGACCCAGAATCGACCCCTGCGGGACACTTTTCGTAATATCCAGGAAACCTGATTTTACACCATCAGTAGATATACATTCTGTCAAGTAATTTTTAAACCAGTTACATGCAGCCTGGTCTAGGCCAATTGAGGAAAGCCTCTGAATTAGCAGGGAGTGATCAACAGTATTGAAAGCCTTTGACAGGTCAATGAAGAGGTCAGAACAATGTTGCCTTTTATCTATACAGTTAACCACATCATTTATAACTAGCGATGCAGCAGAGATGGTGCTATGACCTGGTCTAAAACCCAACTGATATACATTTAGAATACATTTCAAAGATAAGAAAGAGCTTAGCTGAGAATTAATCAAGGATTATAATATTTTAGCTAGGTAAGAAAGTTTAGAAATAGGCCGAATTTAATTATTAAGGTCACAAGGGTCACCACCTTTGTGAAGGGGGAGTACATGGGCTGCCTTCCAAACCTTGGGGATAGTACTAGATATAATCGTCAGGTTAAAAATATGGGTCAATGATTCAGCAATCAGCGGGGCAGAGAGCTGCAGCAAAAATGGATCAAGCATATCAGGTCCAGTGGATTTATTTTTACATCAGTCTTAAGCAAGGCATCTAGCACATCACAGATAGTAAATTGTTTAAATGAAAACAGATTCACTAGAAGTTGATGGGTTAACCGTCAAGTCAGCTAAAGGCTGGCAGAGGGAAGAGCAGTCGATTGACTGACCAGGGTCAACTACACCACAGTTACTCTCAAATAAAAAGCCTGCTGAGATAAAATTATGATTAAAAGCATCACTTATCCCATTCTTCTCAGTTATGATGCCCGAGTCAGACAGAACTTGCTTAGGCAGGGAAGAAGAGGAATTTGTATGCTGCAGTGCATTTACTGTATTCCAAAATTTAGAAGGATCACTAGCAGAGTCAGAGATTAAAAAGTAGCTTGATTTGGCTTTCTTAATTGAGATAGTACATCTGTTTCTCAATTGTGTGAAAGATTGCCAGTCCACTACAGAGTCAGTTTTCCTTGCTTTGGCCCAGGCCTGATTTCTCATCTGAATGAGCTCAGATAATGCAGAAGTTCGAACCCTTGGTTTTCTATCTTTGACTCTGAATTGTTTAAAAGGGACATGTTTATCTGCCAGAGGAATAAAAATGAAAGATACTTTTTCTAGAGCCAACTCAGGGTCAGGAATACAGGAGACAGTGGCTAAATCAGAGTAGAACATGTCATGCAAAAACCGTTGCGTAGAAACATTTGTAAAAGTTATCTTCTTAATTAAACGAGGATTAGTGTTATGCTGTTTCGTATCTCTAATACATACTATGGGACAATGATCACTGAGATCATATGCAAATACTCCACTTGACCAATATTTATGGGGGTTATTAGTAAGAATTAAATCAATCAATGAAGAGTTAACAGGGTTTTTCACATTTAGCCGTGTGGGTTTTGAGATCAATTGAGTCAGGTTAAAATCAATGTTGATCTGAGGCCGGGGATAGCCAATCCAGATTCAAATCCCCTAAAATGACCAACTCTGAGGACAGAAAGGGTGTTAAACACTCAGATATAATACCAATAGCATCGATATCATTATCAATCAATGCCACAACTGAGTTATATTTGTATTGCAGAAGTTTGAACTGGTAGGAAGAGGTGTATAGCTTAGTTGCTCCATTTGTGTTCTTTAGGGCTATTTATTGTAAGTTATAAACCTACTCAAAATGCCAAGCTACCTGTATCTCGTGTTGTTTCCCTGATCCACATGTCTATGTGTGTGTTGCAGGGGGACAATTCTTCTCAGCAGGCCAGTGCTCTGTCAGAGCTCAAACAGAGTCTACAGAGCCAGGATGTGTGTCTGGACCTCCAGTACTCCACTTTTCACGACAGGGAGATCAGGTACACCATCAATTTCAATCAATCCATTTCCACACCCAGAATGCATCAGTGGCATCAGCTAGCATCAGTGGCTTAGGTTGAATGAGATCCTTAATGCGCGATATGGCACATGCACATTATAGAATCTTTGATTTATGTAGGTTTTATAAACATGATGATGACGATCCCCTTAGGTTTGACAACGGTTGGATCATCAAGATAGGAAGAGGACTGGATTACTTCAAGAAACCAAAGGCAAGACTTCAACCAGGGATATTTCTCCCCTCTATGTTCAGTCTTCAATTCATATTGTCATAAATACTGATGGATCAAAAATATAGAACCAACATAATAATAATCCAGTAGTATTTATTCAATGGTTTTTCCCTCCCCCAGGGTCGTTTCTCCATTGGCTACTGTGACTATGACCTGAGGCAGTGCCAGGAGACCACAGTGGATATCTTTCACACCAAACACACTAAGACATTATAACACCTTTGGCTACTCCCCAATATGCACACTAGCATACCACTTAGAATACATGTCCAAAACATTGCTCTATTGTAAGTGATATGCAAGTGTGGATAGGCCAATTGGAACAGAGGGGCTCTCTTTCTAAATGTCTCCCCCTCTGTCCAGTGTGTGTGTACCTGTAAAATACATACCAAATGCCTTTTTTAAGTCTACATGATCGATCATGTAGTTTGGTCTGACTGGGTTGTTTTCTGGGGCTCATAATGCTAATAATGTGTATCTGAGGACATTGGACCTGAATGGTGGATCCAAACGATTTCTGAATCTTTTCTTAACCTGCTTTTTTATTAAACATATACATATTCATTAAAAGTGTACATAACATTTAGAATTCTCAGAATTTCTTGAAACTGTGATTGTTTTTTCATTTTGTGAAAGTACTTGGCGCCATCTAGTGGATATTGAAGTTCGTTCACCTTATAATAACCCTAAAATAAAAATATATAATGATATGATATTTTAGACTAGAGGGTACTCAACATATAATCCCTAGGCTTTAACGTATAATAATTTAATATCCTTAATTATTTATAATTTGCCCTGGTGCTTTGACTGGTGGATTTGATCAGTTTATAATTTTTTTGTCGATCTGATTGGACGTTGTTTTCAGTAGACTAAGGGTTAGTCCTGTTAGGATTGGAGGATAGTAAATGTTGGACAGAGGACAGCAGTGGTCGGTCGCAAGCAGTACTATTATGCTATAGCCTCAAAGTCTAGGTCGTGAACTGACAGTGACACAGCTGTGAGCTCCCATCCAGGCTCCACTAATAGTATGACATTTGGGTTAATTCATCTTCAACACCAGCCACGTCCGTACAGTAAGTATGATAACTACTTTTTCGTTGCCATAATATATCAATGTAAAGAAGACATACCTTCTCTGTAAAAAAGACATGCTGTATGTCACAAACATAATTATTTATCCCATTCAAATAGGGTACAGAGTAGTCATCCGCAGATAAATTACCTTCTCGTTTCATGAGCTTGACGCTACCGACAATATGGCCCAATTTCCTCAAGGTGAACTGAACTGACTGAACAGTCTAGACATTGGTCTCAATTTCCAAATGCTCTATTTAAAATGTGAAGGTATAATGAGCAATGACGACAACTAAAGTTCTAGTACATATAGACCACCTAGATCATTACTTAATGGAATAGATGTACAAATGTACAGGGCATTTGACTTTTTCCACATATTGTTACGTTACAGCCTTATTCTAAAATGGATCTACACGCACAATATCCCATAATGACAAAGTAAAAACAGCTTTTTAGAAATGTTTGCAAATGTATAAAAAAATAAAAACTGAAATATTACATTTACATAAGTATTCAGACCCTTTACTCAGTACTTTGTTAAAGCACCTTTGGCAGCAATTACAGCCTCGAGGTTTCTTGAGTATGACACTACAAGCTTGGCACACCTGTATTTGGGGAGTTTCGCCCATTCTTCTCTGCAGATCATCTCAATCTCTGTCAGGTTGGATGGGGAGCGTTGCTGCACAGCTATTTTGAGGACTCTCCAGAGATGTTTGATCGGGTTCAAGTCCGGGCTCTGGCTGAGCCACTCCAGGACATTCAGAGACTTGTCCCGAAGCCACTCCTGCGTTGTCTTGGCTGTGTGCTTAGGGTCGTTGTACTGTTGGAAGGTGAACCTTCGCCCCAGTCTGAGGTCCTGAGCACTCTGGAGCAGGTTTTCTGTTCATCTTTCCCTTGATCCTGACTAGTCTCCCAGTCCCTGCCACTGAAAAACATCCCAACAGCATGATGCTGCCACCACCATGCTTCACCGTAGGGATGGTGCCAGGTGTCCTCCAGATGTGACGCTTGGCATTCAGGCCAAAGAGCTCAATCTTGGTTTCATCAGACCAGAGAATCTTGTTTGCCTTGACACAATCCTGTCTCGGAGCACTGCAGACAATTATTTCGACCTCATGGCTTGGTTTTTGCTCTGACATGCACTGTCAACTGTGGGACCTTATATAGACAGGTGTGTGCCTTTCCAAATCATGTCCAATCAATTGAATTTACCACAGGTGGACTCTAATCAAGTTGTAGAAACATCTCAAGGATGATCAATGGGAACAGGATGCACCTGAACTCAATTTCGAGTCTCATAGCAAAGGGTCTGAATACTTATGTAAATTTTACAACATTTTTTATTTAATCCATTTTAGAATAAGGCTGTAATTTAACAAAATGTTGATAAAGGGAAGGGGTCTGAATACTTTCCGAATGCACTGTACATGGGAGGGGGCAAGAGAGCAGTGAGTGCGTAGTTTCACGGCTGACTCTTCATTAGAAAACGTTTGTTTCAATTAAACATCCACATGTGTTCCTGCAGAGATTGGATTGGAATCTATAATCGGCCTTAATCTCGATATGTGCGGTACTCATCTGGGTTCTGCAATGGAGGAAAATATAATCCCATGGAAAACACCACAAATCTATGAATGACAGATGAGATTCATCTTTGACTGATTGGGGGTTGGCAGAGTTGGGATGTAGTGAACTACATGTAGTTGAACTAGTAATTTAACTACATTTTGCAGTCATTTGGTGGTAGTTGAACTACACTGAACAAAAATATAAACGCAACATGCAACAATTTCAAAGATTTTACTGAGTTACAGTTCATATAAAGAAATCAGTCAAATCATAAATTAGGCCCTAATCTATGGATTTCACATGACTGGGAATACAGATGCATCTGTTGGTGTCCTTTTAAAAAAAGGATCAGAAAACCTGTCAGTATCTGGTGTGACCACCATTTGCCTCATGCAGGGCGACATCTCCTTCGCATAGAGTTGATCTGGCTGTTGATTGTGGCCTGTGGAATGTTGTCCCACTCCTGCAGTCAGGTCAAGACCCTGGTGAGGACGACGATCACGCAGATAAGCTACCCTGAGACGGTTTGTGGCAGTTTGTGCAGAAATTATTTGGTTGTTTCATCAGCTGTCCGGGTGGCTCATCTCAGATCATCCCGCAGGTGAAGAAGCCGGATGTGGAGGTCCTGGGCTGGTGTGGTTACACTTGGTCTGCAATTGTGAGGCCGGTTGGACGTAACTACTGGTATGGGGTTCACAGGATGACAGAAAATACATTAGATCAGTTGGATAACGATCTTCCCTGCGACCTGACCTGTCTGGAACTGCGAGGAGTAACAGCGTAACCTACGTTGCTACCATGACAAAGACCAAAGCTGGCGGGAGTACCGTTGAGGACAGTGGTGTCTCTCTATCACAGCTGAAGGATCTTTTAAACAAACAAAAATAGTTCTACAAGCAGTTGTTACAACAACAAGAAAATAGCTTGTTACTGGTGGAGTCAACTAATAAAATAATGGACGACCTGACCAGAGAGGTCCAGGACCTGACGAACAGTTTGCAGTTCTCCCAGGGTCAGCTCGATGAGTTTAAACAGGAGAATGGCAAGATGACAGCAATCTGTAAGTCATTGAGAGAGGACATCAATTCTGTATGTGAATCCATAATAACAATGACGAAGAAATCAAGGCGGAACAACATTGTTGTGGACAGATTTTGCAGAATATATATGAGACCTGGACGAAATCTGAGGACAAAGGGAGGTTAATAATCTCGTAGAAACTCACCACAGGAAGATTGAGGTGGAGCGCGCCCGATAGTAGTCAAGTTCCTGAGGTTCAAGGACAAGGTAGCTGTTATGGAAAGAGCCAAGAACTTGAGAGGATCGTACATGTTTCTCAACGAGACTATCCTGAAGCTGTGCGCCATAAGAGGAAAGAACTTATCCCAGCCATGAAAGCTGCGGGACATTTCTTACATCCACAATGACCGGCTCATTGTCCACCCTCCCTCCCAAAAGCCTGGAAGGGATGAGAGAGCTAAGCCTATGGCTTCGTAGCTTCAACTCTGCAGCACGCACACACACTTACACACACCAACTGATTAATGGACTGCTGAATGTATATTTTTTTATCTTGCTTTGTTTGCTCTTTTCCATATTATGTCTATCTCCGATACCCAGGAAAGGGCTGAAAATATTAATATAATTTATGTGGCCTTAGAAATAAGATTCATGAAATCAATAACTTGCTAACATCAGATAACATTAATATATTTGCCATTTCTGAGACTCACTTAGATAATTCATTTGATGATACGCAGTAGCAATACAAGGATATAACATCTATAGAAGAGACAGAAATGCTTATTGGGAAGGTGTGCTTTATATATTCAGAGCCAAGTATTATTGAAGTGTTGTGGTTACAGGTTCACTTGGCACATCTAAAGTATTTTCTTTTGGGGTGTTGCTATAGTCTACCAAGTGCTAACAGTCAGTATCTAAATAATATGTGTGAATTGCATGATCGTGTATGTGATGTAAACAGAGATGTCTACTTTCTTGGGGACCTGAACATTGACTGGTTTTCATCAAACTGTCCATTCAAGAGGAAGCTTCTCACTGTAACCAGTGCCTGTAATCTGGTTCAGGTAATTAATCAAACTACCAGGGTGTTTACAAACACTACAGGAACAAGATCATCCACATGTATTGATCAAATTTTTACTAATACCTCCCGAGTGGTACAGTGGTCTAAGGCACTGCATCGCAGTGCTTGAGGCATCACTACAGACCCGGGTTCGATCCCAGGCTGTGTCACAGCCGGCCGTGACCGGGAGACCCATGAGGCGGCGCACAATTGGCCCAGCGTCGTCCGGGTTAAAGCAGTGTTTGGTCTAGCGACTCCTTGTGGCGGGCTGGGCGCATGCAAGCTGACTTCGGTTGCCAGTTGTATGGTGTTTCCTCTGACACATTGGTGTGGCTGGCTTCCAGGTTAAGCGAGCAGTGTGTCAAGAAGCAGTGCGGCTTGGCAGGGTCGTGTTTCGGAGGACGCATGGCTCTTGACCTTCGCCTCTCCCGAGTCCGTACGGGAGTTGCAGTGATGGGACAAGACTGTAACTACCAATTGGATTTCACAAAATTGGGGAGAAAAAGGTGTAAAGGTAAAATATATAATAAT